CTCTTGATTTAAATTAAGTACAAGTGTGTACACATACATACACAAATATATATATATTTAAAGATTTATACTTTTTGTAGGTCTTCTTTGTTACCAAGCACTGAGCTGATTGTATTTTCCTTAAGGCCATGAGTTGTAGGATATATACTTCTTTGTATTTCCTTCAACATAATATCTTGTTGTATATTGCGGTATTGGTAGGTGCCGTCGAGTCAGCTCTGACTCACAGCGACCGTTTGTACAACAGAATGAAACACTGCCCAGTCATGCACCATCCTCACAATCCTTGCTCTACCTGAGCCCATCGTTGCAGCCACTGTGTCAGTCCATCTCATTGAGGGTCTTCCCTCTTTTTTCTGACTCTCCATTTTACCAAACATAACATCCTTCTCCAGAGAATGGTCCCTTTTGACAACATGACCAAAGTAGGTGAGATGAAGTCTGGCCATTCTCGCTTCTAAGGAGCATTCCAACTGCACGTCTTCCAAGACAGATTTGTTTGTTCTTCTGGCTTCGCCAACACCACAATTCAAATAGTAGGGGTGAAATCTCTCTTGATTTCAATAATGGATTCTCAGTTAATTTTTGTTATTTAATTACTTGATTTTATCTCCTGTTATTAGAACTCATGGTATTCCACAGAATGAAAGCACACTCTTTTTATTTTTAGCCTCCTTTTCCTGCCAAAGCCTGTAGATGTGTTTGAATATACAACAGTTCCTAGTCCATAGAGCTATATCTTGAACTGATGTCCAGAAATATGTTCTTGCTTAAAAAAGCTGCTTGACTGCCTTTCTCCTCTGGGATTTATTTTGTATTTAGTTTTAACTGTTTATCCATTAACAGTTATAAATTTTTGGCAAGTCACAGGCCAATAGAATCTCTGAATGTGCTATCTGGCTGGAATTTTAGCAAGATTACCCAGAATCAAGGCCTCATATCATTAAAATAATGTGTCTGATATTCATTAACTAAGGAGCTCTGGTGGCGCAGTGCCTAAGGCATTTGATGCCTAGCCAGAAGGTTGGTGGTTCAAACCTACCAGCCACTCCTCAGAAGGAAGATGGGGCAACCTACTTCCATAAAGATTTACTGCCTTGGAAACCCAGTGGGGAGGGCGGTTGCTATGAGTTAGAATCGACTTGATGACAGTGAGTATTTTTTTTTTTTTTAATTTATTAAGTACTTTATAGTTTTACATGTTTTTAATATACATTATTTTACTTACTTATGTTTCTGTTAGCCAAGGTAACCTTGTCTATCCACACCCCTATTAACATTCCTCTTGTTTAGAAGGAAGATAAAGAAAAATTCCTTTTAGTACAGTTGGGGAGACGGTAGTTAGGGAGTTCTTACATTGTTGTCATTAGTTGCTATTGAGTTTGCTCCAACTCATGGTGACCCCATGTGCGACAGAACAGAGCCTTGTCTGGTCCTGCACCATCTTCATAATTGTCGATATGTTTGAGTCTAGTGTTGCAGCCACTGTGTAGTGCCTGCCAGCCTAGGAAGCTCATCTTCCAGCCTTGCATCAGACAGTATTCTGTTGCTATCCATAGGGTGTTCAGTGGCTAATTTTCAGAAGTAGCTCTCCATGCCTTTCTTCCTAGTCTTTGTTAATTTGGGAGCTCCACAGAAGCCTGCCCACCTTGGGTTACCCCACTGATGTTTGAAATATCAGAGGCATAGCTTCCAGCAACATAGCAATACACAAGCTACCACAGTATGATACGCTGGCAGACAGGTGGTGGGTTCTTATACTAGATAGGTAGTATCTTTTCTTTTCTTTTTCTTTTATTGTGATTTGGGTGAAAGTTAACAGAGCAAATTCACTTTGCATACAGCAACTCACATATACTTTGTCTTATGACATTGACTACAGTTTACCATAGTGCAACAGCTTCCCTCCCACTTCCTCCCCATAGTTACCTCTTCCCTGTGTCCTGCCCTCCGTGCTCTCCTGCCCCCTGAGCTGTCTCCCTGTACGCATTTCATCATTTCCTTGTTTTCCAAGGAGTGTATCTACCTAGTGTAAATGTTCACCTCATATGCCTGTGTTTTGTTTGGCTGGAAGCCCCAGGAGTGGGTTCAATTCCAGACCTGAAGGGTAGCTAGGGACCATAGTCTCAGGGTTCATCAGGCTCCCCCCCCCCTTTTTTTTTTTAATTATTTTGAGTTTTGTTCCACATTGTTCTCCCACTCTAGCCAGAATCTCCTCCATAGATCTTCCTCTGAGTGGTTGACAGCGTACATAGGTAGTATCTTAAGAAGCCCTAAATTTTTTTCTGCTATACCTTTTATTGTGATAGTCTGGACTAGAATGCATGAAACATATATGTAATATTTAAAGCATGAGTGTAAATAAACACTAGCGACAAGAAATTGATGACTTCCTGTGCCCTCAACACACTTATTGTGTTCCTTCCTGCTTACTGCCCTCCCCCTCACCTCTAGGTAACTACTAGATTTTGGTGATAATCATTTCCTTGTTTTTCTTTAAAATTTTAAAATTTTACCAGGAATGTATGTATACGTTATAAACAATGTAGTTTAGTTTTGCTTGGTTTTGAACTTGAGTTACATGGAAGATACTGAATGTATATATATATTTTTTGTATGTATTGTTTTATGGCTTACTTTTTCCCTTAACACTATTTGTGAGGTTTATTCATGTTGTTGTATATAGCTGGTTCATTTAATTGTTATTGATGTTTAGCATTCCATAATGTGACTATGGGAGCTCTGGTAGCGTAGTGCCTAAGGTACTTGACTGCTAACCAGAAGGCTGGCGGTTCAAACCCACCAGCCATTCCTCGGAAGGAAGATGGGGCAATCTACTTCCGTGGTGATACTGCCTTGGAAACCCAAGGAGGGGTCCCTATGAGTCGGGTGCGACTCGATGGCACATAACAACAACAACAACAATGTGACTATACCACAATTTATTTATCTGTCATGCTCTTATGAACATTCTTGTACATGCCTTCTGTTGCATGCTTGGCCAATTTCTGTAGGGTATTTACCTAACACTGGAAATACTGTGTCACAGGATATGCACATATCTCCTAGATAATGGCAAATTAGTTTCAAATGGTTGTACCAGCAGTATGTGAAAGGTCTCATGCTGCTGATTCCCATTAACACTTGATATTGTCAGACTGTAAAATTGTTGAGGTGGGTGTGTAATTCTTTCTCATTGTAGCTTTAATTTACTTTTCCTTGATTACTAATGAGGTCAGGTATATTTTCACATGTTTACTGGTCATTTAGATTTTCTTTTCACTTTATTTATGGTGCCTTTTTTTTTTTTTCTTTAAGTATGTTTGATGTAAAGACTTTATTTTCATTTTAATGTTGAATTTTTAACATTATTTCTTTTAGAGTGTTTTGTGTTTTGTTTAAGAAAATTTTCCTTAAGCAGAAGTCTTCTTGTCTCATAAAACTTTATAATTTTTGCTTTTCACAATTAGGTCTTTAATCCACCTGGAACTGATTTTTGAGTGTAGTCTAAAGTCTAAACAAGGAATCTAAATTCATTATTTTTCCATACAGATATCCAATTGTTCTAGCATCCTAATTTTAAAAGTCTACCATTTCTCTACTGTTCTAAAAAGCCACCTATATCTTACATTAAGGAGTTCCTGGGTGGCACAGTTGGTAAGCACTTGGCTGCTCACCGAAAGGTTAGCTGTTTGAGTCCACCAGAAGAAAGGCCTGGCACTCTATTTGTGAAAGATCACAGACACTAAGAACTCTGGCGCGCAGTTCTACTTTGAAACATATGGTGTCACCTTAAGTCAGAGTCAGTAGCAACTGGGTGATTTATTATATATTAATGGTCTGTACATTTGCATAGGTTTGCTTTGGGCTCTTTATTTTGTCCCATTAGTCTATTTGTCCATCCTTGTGCCAAACTGGGGAGAAGCTCTGGTGGTGCAGTGGTTAAAACATTGTGGCCACTACTCAGAAGGTCCGTGGTTCAAAGCTACCAGCCACTATGCAGGAGAACGATGAGACAGTCTACTTCTGTAAAGATTTACAGCCTTGGAAACCCTATGGGGTAGTTCTGCTCTCTCCTACAGGGTTGTCATAGGTCGAATTGACTCCATGGCAGTGGTTTTGGTTTTTGGGTGCTGATACTACAGAATCTTATTTAGTTTCCTGTTAGTTCTGCGTATGTGGTAAGGAAAGTTCTCTTCCTTCTTTTTCTTTGAGAGTGATTTGGTTCCCTTGACACTTTGGATTTGTGTATCAGTTTTAGAGTCACGTTGTCAAGTTCCGCAAGAAAATCTTGAGATTTACTTGAGATTATATTTTATCTGTAGATTAATTTAGGGAGAACTGACATTTTTATAATATTGGGTTTTATAGTCCATAAGTATGGTATATTTCTTCATGTTCTCAGTTTCTTCATTGAAGAATTGAGACTATTTTTAGATAGGTGAAAGTGGAGAGACCAGAAAAAGAAAGTTATTTGAAAGTGAAAGAAAAAAACCTCACATGGGTGGTCATCAATTGAAAGGCAGCATACACATTTCATACTGATAATCTTCCCTATCCTGACTTTTCATCTCTCAAAGTCTATTTTCATTTTTCCTTAAACCCTCAACCACATCCCTAAACACTCTAGATACAACACTATCATTGGTTTTTCCTTTAACTGCAGAATTTCTCATCTGTGCCTTCTTTCCTTGAGCCTGTACCTGAGGAAGGAGTGGCCTTCTGAGGAGTAAGGTTTACTACTAATCCATCCACCAGTACTCTGATCCCAGGACAGTTGGGGTGGCTGTGATTACAGACTCCTTCCTGCTTTCCATTCCCCACAATCAACCAGTAGCAGAGGCCTGGCAGAAACATTCTAGTTCGATGCTAGAAAGGTGAAGCATGAACAGATTGTTATTTCTTCTTGGCTGTATTACTTTTGAAATGAAACTTTTCTTGCTTTGTCAGAAAAGGCCACTCCTTTGTCTGAGCCTCTCTGACCTGCTCCTGGGGATATGCTGGCTCATTGATGCACTTCTCTATGGAACTTCATCAGCCAATAAGGATATAGTCTGCTATAACCTGCAAGCAGTTGGGCAGGTGAGTGCTAAGAGACTTAAACTACCCCTTATAGGACCGGCATACTCAGATTTCAGTAGGAAACAAAGAGAATCCACCCTGAGAAATGGGATTTATTGTTACATCTTTAAACAATAGCTCTTATTGTTTTTCCATATTAAAAAATAGTACTAGTTTATTATAGAACATTTGGAAAATTCAGAGAAGCAAAATGATAAAATAATTAAAACTAAATGCAGTCACTCAATATTTTATGCATATTATATACCCTTCTGTTTTTCTTTGTGAGTATATGTATTTTTAAAACAATCAAATAATAGAGTAATGCTTTCTGTAATCTATTTTTATTATTCACATATTGTAACCATATTTCCATGTAATGATATATTCTTCTACAACATCATTTGAAATGACTGCATGGTTTTTCATTGTAGGAATATGATAAACATTGGGTTTTAAAGATACCACAGATGATCATATATAGGTTATCTCTCTTTCTTGGATTTTGTCAGTGCAGTAACCCACACAATGCCATTAGTTTTTTTTTTTTCCTATGTTTCTGAGACTTGCAGTATGAACAAGAATAAAATGAAGTGTGTATTCATTGCTGGATATTTCCCCTGGAATTTGTTACTAGAGAAGAAATTTCTTTCAATTTCAGGGCAAAATAGTAATATATAGTAGCTTGTATGAAATTCATGCCATATGTTACCTATCTCATACGAACTTAAAATGTCTTAGAGACTTACTTTGCTCAATCCTGCTAATAGCCTTACGAATTAAGTAGAGTTGATGCAGTATTGTTTTTTCAGTTAAGGAAATAAAACACAGACAGGATTAAAATTCAGATACTTAGAAGCAGGACAATACAATCTTCGAAGCAAAAAATCTGCTTTAGAATCTTGGATCATTAATTCTGTGATTTTAGGCAAGTCCTTAATCTTTCTGAGTTTCAGTTTCGTGATCTGTAAAATAAACCAAGGCCAAACCCACGATCATAAAGTCGATTCTGACTCCATGGCCATCCTGTAGGACAGAGTAGAATTGCCACATAGGGTTTCCATGGCTGTAATTTTTAGAGAAGTAGACTGCCTCGTTTTTCTGCCACGAAATGCCTGGTGGGTTCAAATGGCCAACCTGTCAGTTAGCAGCCAAGCACTTTAATCACCAGAGGTCCTCAGTCTGTAAAATAGTCTCTAATAATATTTACCTTGTGCTTGGCATGGATGCAATTAACATTATTATTTTTTTACAACTTTATTCAGCTATAATACAGTAAATTGCATATATTTAAAGTGTACAATTTGACCGATTTGAACATACCCCCATGAAATCGTCAGCACAATGAAGGTAAAAAAACATCATCCCAAAAAGTTTTCTCCTCCCACTTTGAATTTAACCTTCCCACCACCCTAGTCTCCAAGCAATGACTAAACTGCTTTCTGTCAGTATAGATTGATTTACTTCTCGAGTTTTATATACATGATGAATTATCAGTATTCTGGTGGCGTAGTGCCTAAGGCATTTGACTGCTAACCAGAAGGCTGGCGGTTCAAACCCACCAGCCACTCCTCAGAAGGAAGGTTGGGCAATCTACTTCCGTAATGATACCGCCTCAGAAATCCAAAGAGGGGTCTCTATGAGTTGGATCTGACTCGACGGCAGTGAGTTTGTTTTTATTGGTTTATCCTTTTTTTAAAAGTGGCTTTTTTCACTCAGCATAATGATTTTGAGAGCCATCCACTGCTGTGTGTACTAGTAGTTCCTTTTTGTTGCTAGTTTGCTGCGTTTCATTGCATGGAGAGACCACACTTTGTTTATTGATTCACCTGTTGATGGCAACATAGCTGTCTTTATATTTAAAGAGAAACTTGTCAGTAGTGTATGATAGGATCTTGCTTTTTTCAAATTCACTTTGTCAATCTCTTCCTTTTAATTTGCGTTTCGACAAAGACCAAAAAAAAAAAAAAAAACTCACTGCATGTTGAGTTGGATCAGACTCACAGCGACCCCTCCTTGGGTTTCCGAGGTGGTATCACTACAGAAGTAGATTGCCCAATCTTCCTTCCAAGGAGTGGCTGGTGGGTTTGAACCACCAGCCTTCTGGTTAGCAGTCAAGTGCCTTAGGCACTACACTACCAGAACTTGGCAAACTACAGCCTGCAGGCTAAGTCCAGCCAACAGCTTGTTTTTGAAAACAAAATTTTATTGGGTCACAGCCTTCCGTTTATTTAGTTATTTGTCTGTAACTGCTTTTGTACTACAGGGCAGAATTGACTAGTTGCAACTAAGAGTGCAAAACTCAATGCCTAAAATATTTACTAGCAGACTCTTTAAGAGACTCCCAGTTCAGAGGGTATGCACTTATTAGAACAATCAAGTATATGTGATCCAGAGGATAGCGTTTGCCCAGGAATAGAGCTAGGAAGGTGGGAAGGATGGGAAGGAAGAGCAGAGGAAAGGGTGGCTGCAGGGAGGAAGTTGGAAGAATGCTGTTACAGTGTGGGCATTGTAGTAAATGTCACAAAGCACAATGTGTACGGGTTGTTGAATGGAAAACCATTTTGCTCTGTAAACTTTCACCCAGATCACAATTGAAAAAACAAAACAAGACACACACATACACCCCCAGAAACTCCTAGTTTAAACCACTGATGTCTAATGTAATTATGGATGCGGTTGGATTTACATTTACCATTTTATTATTTTTCTATTTGTCCCCTCTTTTTTCTCTCTCCCATTTCTCTTGTATTATTTGCATATTTTTTAGTATTCTTAGTCATCCTTTGGATTTTTGGTTATAACTCATTGAATTATTTTTTAGTAGTTATTCTAGGGATTAAAGTATACATATATAACCTTCTGTAGAGCACTCCGTTATTATAGAAACCTTACAGCTATGTAGGACTTCTTATTTCTCCCACTGACTCATCCTATATTTATTTTATGTATTACATCTATACACATTGAAAATTCTGTAAGATAGTGTTATTTTTGCTTTACATATTAATTAAATAACTTAGAGAAAAAATAATTTTTCACATTTCCCATATATTTACCAATTCTGTGATTCTTCTTTCATTCCTGAAGACTCCTCTGATACGATTTCCCTTCAGCCTGAAGTGTATCCTTTGCCATTTCTTGAAGGGCAGGTCTTGTGATGACAGAGTCTCTTAATTTTTCCTCATCTAAGATTGTCTTTATTTCACCATCATTCGTGAAGGATATGTTTGCTGGATATAGAATATTGATTTGACAGGGATTTTTTTTTTTTTAGCATTTTAATTGGTAGGTCATATGGTGTTCTATGTTTCACTTTTTGAGGACCCACCAAACTCTGTCCAACAGCAGTTGCACAATTTTACATTCCTATCAGCAGTGCCCAAGGGTTCCAATTTCTCTACATCCTCATCAACAATTTTTATTTTTCGTATTCCTATTACTACACATCCTAGTGGGTGTGGAGTGGTATCACATCGTGGTTATAATTTATATTTTGCTAATAATTAAGGATGTTGAACATTTTTCATGTGCTTATTGACTTTTTTTTATATATATCTTTGGAGAAATGTCTGTTGAAGTCCTTTGCCCATTTTGAAATTGGGTTGTCTTTTTGTTACTGAGTTGTAGGAGTTCTTCTGTATCTATATTTTCTATATCCTACTCAACAAAGTAGGATATAGAACATTTTCGTTGTGGACTGTGTTGTGCCAATTGACCTTAATGTCTCCTGAGACTGTGGTCCTGAGCCCTCAGGTTCAGTGACTCATTCCCTCAAGGTGTCTGGTTATGGCTAAGAAGTTTTTGTAACTTTACCCCCTGTGTGCTCTACTGTATTCATGAGTGTATTTGCAGCATATGTGAATACATATGTAGAAATATCCTTTGTCAAACCTATGTGTATTTGTGGGTATAGTCCCATTCTCCTTCCCATACCTGTTCAGCTTATGTGTCTGTCTCTGTATCCACTCATGAATTATTATAAGAGCCATAACATGAATAGATAATGCATACACGTATTCACCACAGCACTATTTACAAAAGAAATAGACAGAAACAACCTAAATGCCCATCAGTGGATGAATGGACAAACAAACTATAGTACTTACACAGAATGGAATACTATGCAACATTAAAGAATAATATTAAAGATGAATCTGTGAAACATTTCATAACATGGATGAACCTGGAAGACATGCTGAGTGAAATTAGTCAATCACATAAGGACAACTATTACATAAGACCACTATTATAAAAAGTCAATACAAAGTTTTCACACAAAAATACATTCTTTGATGGTTACCAGGGGTTACAGGGTGAACCACTAACCATAGGACAGACCCGTAGGAGCTTGGATGAAGGGGAGGGCAATATTCAGTAAGGGGAGGTCAGTACCAAAGGGTCAAGGCCAGGGAAGATACTGGGAGGAGCACAAGAGTTAAAGGCAACAGAGGTAAATACATTTACATATGCAGTCCTGCCATAGCAGTAACAGCAATAATCTGGATAAAATCTTGTGATGCACAAAAGTTGTTAATTTTCATGAAATCCAATTTATCTATTTTATCTTTTGTCTCATTTGCTTTTGATGTCATACCTAAGAATCTACTGTCAAAGACTAGATCCTGAAACTTAACTCCCATGTTTTTATCTAAGAGTTTTATGGTTTTAGTTTTTGGGTTTGTTTAGGCTATTGATCTGTTTGAGTTAAAATTCACATATAGTGCTTAGTATAGGTCAGATTTAGCTAGTTTGCATATGAAGATCCAGTTGTCCCAGCACCATTTTGTGTGATGTCATTCTCTAAATAATTCTTAATGAATGTCTGAATTATTTTTTTAAATAGAAAAAAAATCTACACTCTTCCAGACTAAAAAAAAAAGTTTCAGTATTTGTCTTTATCACTTCTCCCAGTCAATTCTGCTAGCTTAGAGGAAAAGAATGTGTCATACTTGGTTTTATCCTTCAAATTAGGCCCACAATTCAGATGAATCCATTTATTCAACTTGGTGAGAGCAGTA